TCAAATGCTTTATGCTCATCTTTTTCTGTCCCAATCCCAACTTCAAAACAATGACCAAGTTTATATTGTCCTTCAGCTTTACCACTTTCAGCCGATTTGGAATACCATTCAAATGCTTTACACTTATCTATTTCTATCCCAATACCAATTTCAAAGCAGACACCGAGTTCATATTGTTCTTCAGCTTCACCATTTTCAGCAGATTTTAAACGCAATTCGAATTTTTTACTGTCATCTTTATACGTAGCGTCCAATACCAAATTGTTTAAATTGGGTTATCAAATTTTTAAGATAGTAGATTAAACTTTTGATTCCACATAAAATAAAAGATGAGGAAATTTCTTACTTTCTATAATTTTTTCGAGCTTTTTATCATCATTTTCATCGTCTGTGTTTGATGTCATCGTTATTGAATTATCTTCCGAAATTTGTGCATACCTCTATACACGTAATCACTAATCTGTTCGGTTCCTGATCAAATGTAAAACAAATCCAACACAAGAAAACGAAAGGGAAACAAATGCCTAAATATAACTTGGAGATCTAATGAAAAATGTCGGTGAGACAATTTCATATATGATTTGAACTCTAGTTTCACCTTGACCCTAAAATAAACCTTTAATAGTTGCTGACACACAAATGATTTGCGGATTCTTATTGGTTTGTTATCATGTGATCAGGAACCGAGCACAGGTACGTATTGTAGAGAATGTGATTGTATTTACCTTTGACTGTTGTATTATTATTTTCATGTTTCATGACATGGAAAGTCTCTTTATTCTCTTCGGTAGTAGTTTGAAAGGTGCATACTGAATCAACGCGATTACGCTCCGTAATATGCACGGAAAATGTTTTTGATGTTGAGGTTCCTGTATTTTCAGTTTCGAATGAAGATAATTTTACAGTAACTTCTGCCATATTTTTATTTACTTGCCTAAGAATAATATCGATATATAACAATAATGTCTGATAAAAAAGTACGCACACTTATCGTTATCGTTATATTGTACATGTGCTTTTTGTCGTAATTTTCACACACCGATATCGATATACAAATTGCAAATCACGTAATTTTCATACAAGGATTGCAGAAACGATTTAGGAAACTCATTTGCTTTTTTCTTTATCGTTACGTATGCTATTCTTTCTTGACAGAAAAAACTTTGTACATAGCGATATCGATTGATGAATATAAATTTGGACATATTCAAATGACGTAAAATATCTGTTGAAAGTATCGGCATAGTAACTTGCAGAATTTACGAGAAACACTAATCAATTTTTAGAATAAAAAGATGTAAAACAATTATTGAAAATTTTTTCTTGACAATGAGCTTTATATTTGTTCGGTGATTTTATAATATGACCGTTAAAAATGGCCTGCAAAGACGTGAACAATAATTGCTCATGCTCATAATCATTGATCCGAATGTTATTATTATTATTATTAATGTCGGATTTGGCAGAAATAGTATTAAATGTGAAACCACTGAATTGCGACCGATTATGGCATCGTTCCATTTCTTCAAACATTCAGCATAGTGTTACCGGGAAATAACAAAGTTCGTCGATCTCGTGATTTCCGGAGAGACTCGATTTCAACAATTACTTCGTCTATCCGAGCCTCTTTGGGTAATGTCCTGCAGTTCCTATTTTAGATCAACTTCTGGTTTTCTTTTCCATAATAATGATTCGTTTGTGATATTCGCTTTTTCTCCTTTTTTCGCTTTCAAATTCGCTTTTGTTAATCACCCGTTTTTCGCTTTCAAGTTCTCTTTTTAACATAACAATGATATTTTATAATTCGCTTTTCATTGCGCTTTTGTTTCTCACCCATAGCATTCTCAATTTTATTTCTAATAATAATATATTAACGTAAACAGAGCAATATGCTGTTTTATCATTAGCAATGCCTTTTCTGAATCAAAGGACCTAACCACAATCAATTACAACGATTTTACAAGTCTAATTTACCTGGAGAAGAATTGTACGCAATTTAATTCTTCTTTTATTAATGTTTTTGAGGGCCTTTATAAACATTTGCTTATTACATATTATGATCGACTGTAAAGCGCTTTGTGTGGAATAGTTTAAGGATTTTAGCTAGAAAAAGCAAATCGTTATTAATAAACATTGTTGATTGAATATCCCTACTAATTAAAAGAAATCTCAATTCCCCTTACCCACATAATTTCATTCGAGTCTCCCCTCTCCCTTTCTCTAGTTATTAACGTAACGATATCCGTAGATATCGGCACAGGAATTAGAAACGAACGAACACCACTCAGTCTAATCACGCTCTCCCAACCCATTGTTGTAGGTAAAATCGTTGATTACGTCTAAATACGATTTGCCCGCAACAATTGTAACTAGTGATAAAAACAATGTTAAATATTATATAATATAATACCTACTGTGTCTCGCAGAGTGAAATACCTCCATAATTTGTAGCTGGTATAAATTAAGAAACAAATTTGTGCTGTTTGTACAAGACTCGGATACAAGTTATATTAAAAATCTCTTATATACCCAGGGATATAATACAAACTTTAATATCAAATTTGCTAGACTAATATATTATCGCAAAACTTAATTACCAAATCTTGAACAAAAAGCTAGTTAATATTTTGAAAAGAAGAAAAAACAAACATTGTATCTATTTTTTACTGTAAAGAATAAGATGCACACCACTGGCCGGGCAATATATATATATATCCTCGTCAGAGACTTGATTAGTTTATATCGTTATCATTTAAGAAAACAAAAACGTTGATATATGCAGTTTTGATGGATCGAAGAATGAAAAATATCTGTAAACGACTTTGTTTTGTACATGTATTTATTTGTGTAATTGGAAGGAATGTATATTTTTAATTCACCGTGCTCACAGCGATAATACTACGGATTTATCCTCCGATTATCACACTTATTTCACAAAAGTTGTTAGTTTATGTTTTACATGTGATTGCTAACTGAGATTACATTTTTTTTATTTTGCCGTTTTGAACGTATTAACGCCGATTCTTTTTGATACATGTTCATGTACATGTATATCGATATACATGTACATGTAACTCGACATCGGATAACACAGCATATCGATATAGTGCTGATCTCTCACCATTTAAGCAATTTGCCAATGATAACTTGACACATGTACATACGTAGTTTACCTAACTCTAAATAAAAATGGAAATGAAAAAGCAAAAGCAAAAGCAAAAGAAACAAAAAATCGAGCTCGACGCAGAAATCGACAGAAAATATTCAATTTCTAATTTACCAGTCGACTGCTTTACCAGAATATTGACATTTCTCATCGATGATAAAAACACATTGTTTTTCGCTGCATTAGTTAATCGAACCTGGTGCCGACTCGCAATTCCATTATTATGGGACTCCATCAGTATTTGGGAAGATAGAGATGGCATATGCATTACAGAAACACTTGTTAGATGTATGAATGATGAAGAACGTAATGCGATAATCAATTCAGGACTCAAATTAAAGAAAGCTTATCCTCAACCACTTTTCTTGTACACTTCTTTTATCAAAGATTTTAATTGGAATGAGCTTGAAACAGTGGTCAGTTGGTACACTCACAATGCCCCGGATGATCCCGTTGCGCGTGATAATTCAATCTGGCAAACCACATATCAGGATAGTAATAACATCAATCAAATGGCATTACAATTTCTCACACAAACATATAAACTCATCTTCCGAACCGCTGAAAATTTAGAAAGTTTATTCATCGATACAACCTATCTTTTATATTTGCTTCCGGACTTCACTTCCTCATTTCATACACCGTTTATTTTGGCAAAATTGAAAAAAGTCAAGCTTTCATTGAACTACGACGAAGAAGAATGGGAAAACAATACAGAAAATTTGAGAGATTTGATAAATGCATTAAAGTTGGTGAGCCGTAATATCAGGATTTTGGAAATCAGTACCAATGTACTTGAATTAAGTAATATTCATCAGCTTTGTGATTTACTCAAATTTCAGCATAATTTAGAGGATCTTATTTTAGAAAATATTAGAGATGAACATGTTTCAATCATTCATACTCTTCAGCAGCATCAGGCAAAATCTCTAGTTTACCTAGAATTCCGCTATTCTTCTCTCGCAATTTGGACAGTAACCTTACTTAAAAAACTAGAGATATTTACAAGAATGGAAGGAATAGCATTTATGTCGTGCAGATGGAACAGCAGACATGAAAACTCTTTTATTGATTGGTGGACAGAGTTATCACAATTTCCAACGAGTCTAAATAGGTTATATTTTAATTGTACCGCAATAAATGATAAAATCGTGATTCCATTGATAAAAATCGTTGGAAACAATTTAAAGGAGCTTGTAGTTCGAAACGATTGTACTCAACAATTGTTCGAAGTCATTGCGGAACATGCGAAAAATATTTCTTCTTTGGAACTCGGGCTTGAAGTTGCATCAGCACCATTTCTTCAAACAATAATATCACTTCAAAGCTTGCAACATTTAAGCTTGAGATCAGCTTACTTGCTATCTGATGACTTTTTGATAGAATTATCGAAAAACATGAAACCAAATACGAAATTCTATTGCGCTTCTGAATTAACTCCACACGTGTTGGCTTCCTTTCTATCAAATCGCATTAAACCAACTGATTACCATAATGCTATACTATGGCCCCGTAACTTTTAACCTAGATTCTCAAATTTTTATCAAGATAAGTAAACTTAATGTTTGCCTTGGTTCATATTTCGAAGAATAGTAGGTAGATAATTAATATATTCAACTTTAGCAGAGTATAATTTCGTTTTTCATTATTATCTAAATTTTATATTTTGATCCTATATACATACATTATTTTGATATTTTATAAACTACGTATTGTAATTTAATAAACTTCGACTGTTTGTATGACAGTAATGATAAATATCGATACACAAATCCTTATCGTAGGGATACTAAGTGGTAAAGATACTATAAAGGCGATTGAAGTATTATCATCAGATTGATGGATTTTCTGTTGTTTCATAAAAATCATTAAAGTTTGGATCCATTTAAGTTTGGATCAGTTACATTTGGCATTAATATCACTATCAAAGTTATTAAACTCGATGTTGGCAAAAGTTTCTCGGTTATTATCAATTTGATATTTTTGTTGAATAGTTTGTCGTTGTAGCATTTGCAAATTATTTACACATTAATCGACTTTAAAATCGACTCTCAAATTTTAATCGATTCTTAAATTTATTGTTGCTTGCAAAAAGGTGTGACCCTTGCAGATCACTGTCACGGAAAACCTACAAATTCCCCGATTTTTTCTGATTTTCAGATTTCCTAATAAGTAAATAGTCATTTAAAAGTCAAAGTTGGTTTGCTTGTTATGCCTCATGCGTATAGTGATAACTTGGAATGGCGTATAATTTATCTACAATATGACGGTTATTCTATATTACAAATTGCGAAGCTTCTTTACATTAGTAAAAGTTTAGTATACGCATAAAAAATGGTGAACCATAATTAATCCCTGGCGACAAATACTAAAACAGGTTCCTCGGTAGTATTTTGGTTTTGTGACTTGAATGTCGGCCATTATATATTAAGAGAAAAATCGATTCTAGAGAATCGATTCCTATCCCTAGTCCAAAGACAGCAATATTGATTTAAGCTGTATTCATATATTTCAGGGTGAAAGGCACGATGCACAAATTCATTTCTGTGAATACAATCATTCATAGTTGGAATTTATTTGCGTAGGTCACCATCTTTTGCATAGTCCATTAATACGTATCGTGTATTCATTTGTAGCTGGGTTTTAGTTAAAAATATAATTATATCGAAAAACAAAAAAGCAATATTCTTACACTTTAAAAGGTCTTTATTTACCTCATTTGTAAACTCGGATTAATTTCCTTTGAATGCATGTTCGCTTGTCGTTTGAGCATGTCCACAATTACTTTGGCCTCATGATCCGAACATAAACTTCCTGCACCACTACCTGGAATCCACAATGATTCGAGCTTCCATTTTAACACAACTTTACGTTTTCCATTTAGTTCAAATTAAATTTACTTTCTTTATGATCCATTGATTCAAATATCCGTCCAATCCAGGTTGCTTAATGCAATACCTCCTTTTGTAAAATATTCAACATCGAGAAATCTTTCAAATCGGCTCTATCGAGTTAATTTTCATGCATTCTTTTATTAGACAATCGATACAATTTATTTCTGCGAAGCTTTCAGCTAGATAAATTTGCTAGTGATATTTAAAACACTCATCGCAGAAATCGCTTTCTTGACAAAGAGTACATTTACTAAAATTATGAGTATTGTGAACTGAACCTTATCGCAGTATTTCGACACTTGAAAATAGCTACACTGACCTACGATAAATCACCGTGCATTATCGATTGTATCATATACTGTTTGTTTTGGAATATCGAAAGTAGAGGCAATAACTGAAGCATTGCTCTCCATATGATACGCACCAATTATTTATTCACGAAGTTCTAATGATAATCCTTTTCATGGTAAGGACATTATGAAAGAAAGAAAAGTGAATAGAGTGTTTTTATATACAAATAAATGATCGAAACAATGTTAAAATCAGAACAAAAGAGAAAAGAATGAGCATATATGGGATCATTTAAATCGCCAAATTAGAAAAAGAGAATTTCTTCCGACCTCCAAAAAGGATTTAAGTGATGTATTGGAGGAAGAATTTCCAGTATGCTGTAATGAAAAATAATAAAAAATAATTAACTAAGATAATAATAGTAAATAATCAAATTGATAAAAAAATAATGAAAAATAATGAAAAGTGATAAAATATGATAAAAAGTAATAAAAATGATAATAAATGATGAAAGTGATAAAAAATAATGAAAAATAGTAATAAAATAAATTATTTTTGTTATTTTTAGAGTTTACTATTTTTAAAGATTTTTAATATTTTCAATTATTTCTCGAATTCAGAATTTTCTTTGAATTTACAAAATTATTGTTACTACTATAACAATATAACAATATTATTGATGAAACTAATAATATTTTATATTTATAATTAATTTTGGTGTATTAGTTATCAAGCTATTATATTATTTAATTTTATATGCTGGTTATTGAAATATAAATTAAAACTTGTATGTTTTCAGATTGCATCTTGTTCTTCATTTATCATATCAATCTTCAAATAGAATAACTTGTTTGTTTTCAAATTTTAAATTTAACACATGTAATCCACTAATTTTAATTAAAACAAATCTTTCTTTTGTCCAAAATTTCAATTTTGCATCATCAGCTTTGATAGTTGGATATTTTAGAATTTCAATACATTTTTGATATTTTTCTAATCATATAATACCCTTTTTATTCTTGCACTTTTCCATAAAAGTTGTAACAACTTGATTAAAAATATTTTGAGATATAAATATTGCTTCATAATTTGAATCAATATAATCAAAGAGATCTTGTTTATTCTCATTATTTTTAAGAGTTTTAGCATTTTTATCATTACTATCACTATTATTTTCATCACAATCACTCATGATGTAAAAATGATGTAAAAGAAAGACAAAAAAAGACATAAAAAAATGATGAATTTATATAAAAGGTTACAACAATTTTTGTGTTATCATGTTTATTCCTAATTTGATAAGCAGAATTTAGTTTACATTAATTCAAATTGACAGTTTACATGACAATATTTTATTTATATAAGGTAAAGGAGGATATTATGATGAAGTTAATATTAAAATTAGGAAAACTCTTTTATAAACAACAAATATTTGGAACATTTATTATGACTAAAAAGCATAAGTAATTCTACATAAACCTAGTAAAAAATATGATGACATTACAAATAATATATAGAACAAAATTGACATTTATTTAAAATTTACCATTAGATTCGCCGCAACGAGACAAATCGAATGGTGGTAATTTCGTGGGATTCCGATCACGAGGGATCGAGATATCGCCCCCGAAATTCACCGAACGCGGATCGTTACCCGAAATTTTAATTTTCTTGTGTACGATGACTTTCGGTGGCGATATTTCGATCTCCAGTGATCGGAATCGCACGAAAATACACCATTCGATTCGTCTCGTTGCGGCGAATCAAATGGTGGAATTTTCGTGCGATTCCGATCACTGGAGATCGAGATATCGCTATTTCGTCATAATACCCTCCTTCGTCATACTACCCTCACTTACCTTATATAAAGCAGAATGAAATAAATCGAAAATTTCATTTTTTAAAAAAATCTGGCGTTACTTTCCGACTGTACATCCACATCGATCTCGGATTGTTTAACTGGTACATCATTTTAGAATTCCAAAATGACGTACGTTAATTTCGAATTTGAAACGACGTATGTCATTTCGGAATTCCGAAACGAAGTACGTCAATCCGGAATTGACGTGAATTCCGAAACGACGTATAGCAGCACGTCATTTTGGAATTCTGAAACGACGTATAACATCTACACTTTTGCACCAGACCATACATAGTTAACTCCCATTAAATCGAAGAAAATATACATGTAGTCGATTTAACTGTACTACATGTATTCATGTATCGGTATACATGTAGTACGCACAGTATTTGACTACGTATACGCGCGTATTGGCCCATCTTTATCGACAAGTATTATTCATAATTTTAATAGTTTGTTATTATAAGATTTTTAATAAAATACCGTATATGACCTAACACAAGCAAAAAATTCACAAACATATTTTTCAACAGCCAATAATTTAAATTCAACAACTTATAGCTCGCTGAATTAAAATTTTGGTGGTTTTTCCATTTGAATTGGAACGAGTTTATCGATAAACAAACCTTCACAAAATTCGTCCAAAAAAGGGTTGCTTATAATTGGTCATATACGATATTCTCTAATTCATTGTAAATTCAAATTGTTCAATATATGGTGCATAAAGTCATCAAACATTTGTATTTTATAAAAATGTATAAACTTCTTTACTAAGAAGTAAATACAAAATTTAATTCAGAAAAGGCCTATTCTATCATATTTACGGATTAAATTTTATATTTACTTTTTAGTAAAGAAGTTTATACATTTTATGAAATACAAACGTTTGATGACTTTAGGTTTTATGCACCATAGTGCAAAAGACTACCTAAATTCAGTTAAACATTGTTAAATAATATGCCAGAGCTGACAACGAAAATCCAATCCTTAACAATGAAAAAAAATTAAATGATTTAATAATGATAACTTTTAATAATACGTAAATATATAGCTATAAATAAATTGATTACATTGTCACCAAATTGTGAAATTTAATAATTAGTTAATTATTCATGCATTTTTTATTAGATACATCACTTAAAATGATAATTTTTACATCTGCAGTGGTCAGAGCCAAAATGCAATTTATAAATAATATGAAGCAAAGAAATAAATATAAAATTTATCGCAATTTCTCAAGTTACTTTCATTCAATTCAAACCTTTAGCTAACACAAAACAGTAATAATTATTTTTATAAGTATCAAACACTCAATCGAAACATAAAGTCAATAATTTATTCACATATTAACTATTAAATATGCTATCACCTCTTAAATTATCAATTTTACTCGTATTTTATTTGTTATTATTCGCTCAAATTGCAAAGGCGCTCCCATATTCTTATATAGCAGCACCAACAGATGGTCAAACAAACTGTCTAAATAGCATTGTTCACGGAAATGACTGCGACAATGAGCATTCGCAGAGAGTAAACGGAAATTGGGATGGGAATGGGAACGGAAATGAAGTTTCTGAGATAATAGATGGAAACGTAATAAACGTAATAGATACTAAAAGTAAAAAAAGCAGTGCAGTGAATAAACCAAATGCAATCATTACTGATGATAGTCCTAGCAACATAGCCACATCTGTGGTAGGGTCTGAAATTCCATCAATATCAGATTCAAATCAGCAAAAGGTTATCAAAAATCTAGATGCTGCAAAACATGAAAATGTCGTAAGCTCTGTAAATGCAAGTCATCACGGCATCACCGAGAACAAGAATTTGACATTCCAAGTTGGATCTAAAATTTCTTCGTCAGCAAGCTCAGATTCAAATCAACAAATGATTGTCGAAAATCTGGATACTTCAAAACAAGAAAATGTAAACACAACTCAGTACAATAATATCGAAAGCAAGAACGTAACTTTTCAAATCGGATCTGAATTTCCTTCGTCATCAAAATCATCAGAGAGTCATCAAAAAGTTATCGACAATTCGAATAATTTAGATAAAATTGTTTTAACAAATACAAGTGACTTTTTATCAGAAATTCTTGATGGCATTCAGAATAAAAGTTCTGTTGTAAAAGCAAGGAAATGCCCTGGTGTCGTTAATATAAATATAGATGATTCTGATGATTGCGGTTGTGATGATGGAGCGACCAAGTCAAATAATTCATGTAATAAATATGGTATTCAAGTTTCCCATACATTAAAAAACAACAATAACACGCAAAAATCTCGCTGTGAAAATGAAACTGAATTCAACCAAACTACTATACGAAAAGCAATAACCCCAGCGGATACGAGTTTATCAAATTCCACTAATTCATCAGAAATAAATTTACAAAATTCTAAGAATAATGACACGGTGCAAATAAACTACGTACCAGCTCAAATAGATGAATGCGTATCGTGGATTAAAGAATCACCACAAAAAGCAGATTACATATCTAACACTATTCTCAATTTCGATACCTCCTCTGCTTCAACTAATAACAGCACACTAAATTCAAACGAACATATAAACACTGCACCGTATCTTATTGATGAAGTGACACAAAAAACTAAAGAAACACCACCACCAATAGTGGGATCTACTCAAACACAAAGTCCAGATTTCAATATATCTGTGTCATCACAAGTTGCTTCTCATGATATCGATCTTAATACAGTAGAAGTGATAAAATCTGATGTTCAGCACGAACATTCCTCTGCTTCAACTAATAACAGCACACCGAATTCAAACGAACATATAAGCACTGCACCGTATTTTGTTGATGAAGTGACACAAAAAACTAAAGAAACACCACCACCAATAGTGGGATCTACTCAAACACAAAGTCCAGATTTCAATATATCTGTGTCATCACAAGTTGCTTCTCATGATATCGATCTTAATACAGTAGAAGTGATAAAATCTGATGTTCAGCACGAACATTCCTCTGCTTCGACTGACAATAGCACACTAAATTCAAACGAACATATAAACACTGCACCGTATCTTATTGATGAAGTGACACAAAAAACTAAAGAAGCACCACAACCAATAGTGGGATCTACTCAAACACAAAGTCCAGATTTCAATATATCTGTGTCATCACAAGTTGCTTCTCATGATATCGATCTTAATACAGTAGAAGTGATAAAATCTGATGTTCAGCACGAACATTCCTCTGCTTCGACTGACAATAGCACACTAAATTCAAACGAACATATAAACACTGCACCGTATCTTATTGATGAAGTGACACAAAAAACTAAAGAAGCACCACAACCAATAGTGGGATCTACTCAAACACAAAGTCCAGATTTCAATATATCTGTGTCATCACAAGTTGCTTCTCATGATATCGATCTTAATACAGTAGAAGTGATAAGATCTGATATTCAGCACGAACATTCCTCTTCTTCGACTGATAATAGCACACCGAATTCAAATGAACATATTAAAGAAACACCACAACTAATAGTGGAATCTACTCAAACACAAAGTCCAAATTTTAATATATCCGTATCATCTCAAATTGCTTCCCCTGATATCAATGCTACTAGAAATATACAGCATTCCCCGAATACAACATCGCAAAATATTACCGACACATGCAACACCATCCTCGACTTTAAATCCGGTTCTAGTGAAGCAGAAGCTTCTAAATCTAGTTTATCCGAACCCTCACAAGTCATTTCTCCACATAATACCGAGTATAACGACGAAAATACAATCAAAAGCGCAAACCCAAAACAATCTAACGATATGCAACATTTAGGATCAGCTCATGAAAATACTAGTAATTTCTTGAATGATGTCCATAGTTATCAACATTCATCGAGTTCCTCGCATTCGCATCCAAATTCTGCTATAGATAATTCCAACGAGCATATAACTCCAGAGTTTAATAAAGAACAGCAAGTAGGGGAGGAAGATGTTTGTGAATTGTGAGAGAAATTATTTAGAATAGATGTCTTTACAATCATATCCGTAATAAGAGCAAAATATTTTAAATATAAAATTAATTTATAATTTTGATATTTTCACAAAGTTTCTTTGTGAAATAACAAATAAAATTAGTTTATTTCGCAAAATAAATCGAAATTCATTTCTGGAAACACAAGATTCAAAATTATCAAACAAAAAAATGTAGCGTATAAAAAAAATGATAATATTTTTCTATAGAAGTAGGTTCTTCAAAAGATTAACTGCAATATATGCCAGACTCCCCTTTAGGTACCAAAGATCTATACGTAGAATAAAATTTATTATTACAACATGAAATTCTTTAATTCCATAATTTTTAACATAAATTTAGCACGATTATCATTTCTATAATTATTATATTTTAACACCAATTTAATATAATTTTTTAACACCTTTTAACACCCATTTGTAATTAATTTCTATCATTTGTAATATTTAACATCTTTCTGATACTTTGTTTAACATTAATTTAATATTTAAATTTGCTTATGTGTATTTTAACACTATTTAACATATAGTACTATCTCTTTAATAAATTTGACATCAGTTTAACACTTATACTAAATTATTGCTTTGTAATTATGATAAATTTAACACTGTTTTAACACTTGTAGTAATACCAAATCGTGTAGTTAGTGTAGCCTAAAAATTTGTACAAAAAAAGAAGCTCTCTTCAATAGAGAAAGCTCATGCTTCAATCAATACAAGTGTCAACTTGTAATTAATACTTATTTGTTAATAAATCTTACACTTAGTTAACTTCAAACTTTGTATATTTTTGTTATTAGTATTTTGATTATTAGTTATATTTTTATTACAGTTGCCTCTTTTATCTTTAATTTTGTGTCAATCATCTACAATCTCTGCGAAGATTGACATAGAAGTATATAGTGCTCCAACCGGGTCGGGTCCAATCCGTGACCCAACCCGAACAGAGCTTTACATAGAAGATCTTTAGAACCTTTAAAGACAACACTTATTTGTAAATAATTCAGTCTTAACTTAACACTATTTTTACATACTATTTATTTAATTGCAACAATTTTAGAATAGTAGTAACATTATTCTAATTTCTCTTGATTAAAATATCAATTTCATAATAGGGAGTTTGTGTATAATGGATGTAATGGTAAATAAATTAAGTAAGCATTTTTTTAGTATTCACTACTAATAAGACATTGAAATTGCTTGAATTTCAAAATTCAAGATAAATTTTTTTATAATATTATAATTAGCTGAATATTTAATATGCACAAGATTATTTTCTCCTATGAAAAAGAAATGACTGGTATGCGCATTCATTTGAATTATTCAAAAAAGTAACATAAATTGAAAATGAGTAGGACTAGGATAATCATTTTTTTATAGTTTCGTAAAACTTAACGCTGGTAGAGTATTCTTCCATAAAGTCTAAATTCTCACTCAACAAACTACCCAGACTAGACGTTTCTCATGTGTAATCCGAGTCAAATTAGTTCCATATAGTCACAACCTCTTAAAGTTACACTTTTTCTGGTCTCGAAGACATGATTATATGAAGAGACGACTGTACTATTAAAAAGAGAAGTTTCTTTACCAATTTGCCAGCAGTCACAACCTCTTAAAAGCTACACTTTTTCTGGTCCTGAGGACATGATTATATGAAGGGACGACTTCCACTCCACATATAAATCTTTGTTTTTTAAATAAAACACTGCCATCATCACTAATAAACTCAAAGATGGCATCTAAAACTCATGATTGTAGTAAATGTACCAATTATCAAAAAAAGAGTCCTGTGCTGGATATCACAAACGAATTTATGTTGAATGATCCAGTGGAAATAAAGATATCGACAGTCTAATAAATGAACGCAATGATAATGAATTGTTCGAATGGATCCCTTTTGAAAGGTTTACCAATGTTGAATATCTTGCAAAAGGTGGTTTTGGATCGATTTATAAAGCAACCTCGTTGGACGGACCATTACACCAGTGGGTTACCAAGTGGGATCATGAAGGAAATAAATTCAAACGAGAGGGAGAACGCGAACTTGTATTGAAATCATCACACAATTCAAAGCAAATCACAGCCGAGTTTATAAACGAGGTAAAATGAACACCTTTACGTGTACGCATATTGCTTTTTGTTTTTCAATCTAATTAACTTTTTCAAAATTAGATTCAGACTGCTCTAAATGCTCTTTTATAATAAAATATTATGGAATAACTAAAAACCCAGCTACAAATGAATACTCGATAATGATGGATTATGCAAATGACGGCGATCTACGCAAATACATGTACGTATATGAATTCCAACTATGAAACATTGATTTGGAAAGAAAAATTAAAATATTTAAGTAATTTTATCTCAGAGCTGAATACAATTCACACAAAAGACTTTGTGCATCGTGACTTTCACCCTGGAAATATATTATTGCAT